CAGCATCTCCATAATCATGTGATCCAAATTCAGAGGCTGGGCAACTGGTTCCTATTTATGACCGTTGCACTGTCCCAAGGTCATGTGATCCCCCTTCTGATAAGCAATGGGGAAACCAGATTCACTTAACAACTGGCTTCCTAACTTATCAGCCGCAGGGATTCCCTTAACGACGGTGGCAAGAAAGGTCGTAAAATGGGGCAAAACTCACTTAACAACTGTCTTACTTAACAGCAGAAATGTAAGGACTTAGATCCTTACAGGCCTTTCTGTAGCTCTTGTTTATGGTACAGTCGTAAGTCACTGTTTTCAGTGCCATTGTAACTTCAAACAGTCGCTAAATGAACGGTTGTAAGTTGAGCACTATCTGTGTCAAAAGATAAACCAGTGTTAAGATCCAGAATCCTAACATTACCCTATTTTTTTTTTTAGCTCTGCTGCTTATTGCATAAACTTCACTGTCATATTTTCCAATGCAGAATTGCCTGTGCCTGATGTTCTAACAAGATACACACCCAGGGTTATAAGGAAACTAGCTGACACTTTGGAAACGGACAGGAAATTGAGCAGAAGGTATCAAGTGTCGGGTTAAATTGGCCTTTAAGTAGATTTTGATCCTTGTGCGGGCCGTGCGACCTCTGCTTGTGGCCTGCTCCTTAATAAGTAGTTAGTATAAAACTTTCTGTGGTTGGTTCTGACTAAATCGCAACGGGGGTGGCTTGGACGACTCAGAACTGATTGAAAAATCCCCGTGGCTTTTGAGTGAAAATTGTGGCTTGACTGAAGGAGAGCTGAGGTTTTTCAAACCCCCAAATTAGGGCTCTATTGATTTTTATTGTTAGATTTTTATAAACCTTGTCAAAGCTTTGAGGCCCCAGGGCAGATTAAGCTGCTCCGACAGCCTCCAGTCTTTGCAAAGCTTATAGTGTCCCCACCCCCCAGCTTCATTGTAGATTTATTTGACTTATTTTCTAAGGAAGTTATGTCTTCCTACGGATGCCTTTGAATTGGAGGGTCAGGTTTTATTTTGGAAAGGGATGGTGTTTTCTAGGTTTAGAACCCTTCCTTCTCTAATGAGATAAACTAACAGAATAATAAAGTTGGAAGGGACCTTGGAGGTCTTCTAGTCCAACCCCCTGCTCAAGCAGGAGACTCTATACCATTTCAGACAAGTGACTGTCCAGTCTCTTCTTAAAAACCTCCAGTGTTGGAGCATTCACAGCTTCTGGAGGCCGGTTGTTCCACTGGTTAATTGTTCTAACTGTCAGGAAGTTTCTCCTTAGTTCTAGGTTGCTTCTCTCCTTGATTATTTTCCATTCGTTGCTTCTTGTCCTGCTTTCAGGTGCTTTGGAAAATAGCTTGACCCCTTCTTCTTTGTGGCAACCCCTCAAATACTGTTGTTGTTAGTTGCGAAGTCATGTCCGACCCATCGCAACCCCATGGACAATGTTCCTCCAGGCCTTCCTATCCTCTACCATCTTCTGGAGTCCATTGAAGCTCACGCCGACTGCTTCAGTGACTCCATCCAGCCACCTCCTTCTCTGTCGTCCCCTTCTTCTCTTGCCCTCCATCTTTCCCAGCATCAGGCTCTTCTCCAGGGAGTCCTTCCTTCTCATTAGGTGGCCAAAGTACTTGAGTTTCAGCTTCAGGATCTGGCCTTCTAAAGAGCAGTCGGGGTTGATCTCCTTTAGGACTGACCGGTTTGATCACCTTGCGGTCCAGGGGACTCGCAGGAGTCTTCTCCAGCACCAGAGTTCAAAGGCCTCCATTCTTTGGCGCTCCGCCTTTCTTATGGTCCAACTTTCACAGCCATACATTGCAACTGGGAAAACCATGGCCTTGACTATGGAAGACTACTATCATGTCACCCCAAGTCCTTTTCATTAAACTAGACATATCCAATTCCTGCAACCATTTGAATCAGGTGGGCTTTTCATTTTTAGAAGAAGGAAACAAAGTTGTGAAACATATCCACTCCGTGTGGCAGCTTTGACAATGCATCTGCTAGCATTTTTCTTACTTAAGTCAACTTATCTGAACCTCGCCCACGTTTGCAAATATTTGTTAGCATGTGGTCTGGCACAGTCCACTTCTGGGCACAAAGAAACTGATTTGTATTTAACATTTGTAGCATGGTCTTCTGTATTCAGAGGTTAATCACCCTAAGTTCAGCGAGCTTCAGAAGTAAGGTTTCTAGCTGGATATAAAATGTTAGGTTTGTAATTTTCTGGATCCATTTTTTTCCCTTTTTTGAAGATGGGAACTACATCAGCTCTTTTCCAGTCCTCCGGTAGTTCTCCAGTGCTCCAGGATCTTTGAAAAATATAGTTCAGTGGTTCTGAGATCACATCTGCCAGTTCCTCGAGAACCTTGGGGTGTAATCCATCTGGTCCTGGTGATTTGAACTCATCTAGGCTGGACAGGTGCTCACTTACCATTTTCTTGCCTATCTTAACTTGTGTTTCTATTCTGTTGTTTATGGCACTATTTTTGGTAGGTTGGTCTGGTTTTTCCCTTTGTGTAAAGACAGGTGCAAAAAATGAGTTAAATAGTTCTGCTTTCTCCCTGTTGCTTGTCACCTTCTTGCCAGTTTCACCCATTAATGGAACCAATCATTTCCTTCACTTTTTTCTTGTTTTTTACATGTTGAAAGAAGCTTTTTTTGTTGTTGTTATTTTTGACTTTGGTCGCAAGCCTTAGTTCATTTTGAGCCTTAGCTTTCCTCACTTCATCTTTGCAGCCTCGGGCTATTTGCTGATATTCTGCAAATATTGGCGTCGTTCTGTATTCCAAGAGAAATCAATTCAGTGAAATGTCTATGGAGATTCTCAGTCTATCCAGGTCATGGTTGTCCCAAATGTCTTCAAAGAAAAAACAGGTCCAGTTGCCTCTTGAAAAAAGCACCTTTGGGACAATTCAGTGAAATGTTAGCGGCTCCCTAGAAATTCCCTGCCTAAAAAATATGAGAGAATAATTTAGCAACGATTCACAGACACGCAATGCTTTGGTGGTAGACTTGAGTTGTTACCTGTGGAAAAATAACAAGCCTTTTAATGCTTGTGTTTTCAAGTTATTTGTTACAGAGTAAAGGGAATACTTATGGGACGTGCATTTAGTGCAGACTGTAATTAGAAGCCAGGCAAAAGTGTTTTGTTTTTTTGTTCATTGCTGTTATTCTGTTTACACCGTGCCATGATTGATAACATGAGGTCCTGTCCAGTCGGAACTCCTGAATTCTATTTATTGGGCTTTCATTCATTTCGATAATGGCAAACAATATGTGTATCTCGTTGATATCTCATGAAACTGTGTGCGAAGAATAGGATGGGGATAGGGATAGAACAGAACAGGGAATAGAGTAGAGTAGAATAGAAGAATGAAGAATAGAATAGAAATAGAATAGGAATAGAATAGAATAGAATAGAATAGAATAAATGGAGTGGAGTAGAGTAGAGTAAATAGAATAGAAGAATGAAGAATAGAAATAGCAGCATAGAATAGAATAAGTGGAGCAGAGTAGAATAGAATAGAGTAATGTAGAATAGAATAGAATAGAATAGAATAGGTGGAATAGAGTAGAATAGAATAGAGTAATGTAGAATAGAATAATGTAGAATAGAATAGAATAGAATAGACGGAAGGGTCCTTGGAGGTCATCGAGTCCAACCCCCTGCTCAGGCAGGAAACCCTATACCATTTCAGACAAATGGCTGTCCAGTCTCTTCTTAAAAACTTCCAGTTTTGGAGCATTCACAGCTTCTGGAGGCAGGTTGTTCCACTGGTTAATTGTTCCAACATCTCAGGAAGGTTCTCCTTAGTTCTAGGTTGCTTCTCTCCTTGATTAGTTTCCATCCGTTGCTTCTTGTCCTGCCTTCAGGCGCTTTGGAGAATAGCTTGACTCTCTCTTCTTTGGGGCAACCCCTGAGATACTAGAAGACTGCTATCCTGTCCCCCCTCGTCCTTCTCTTCATTAAACTAGACATACCCCAATTCCAGCAACCGTTCTTTATATACCCGAAGGTGTAGTTGACTCCGGATTATTATGGGAATTCCACATTGGGGAGAAGGCTGCCTTGATATGAGATCACATGATGGTGCTGGGTGACCAGATGTGATTCCATCCATTTTTTTATGTTGATCATTCCCAAGGGTATCTACCGGGGAGTCACAAAAGTCAAGAGGGTGACCACAGCCATACAATCAAAGTCCCCCCTGTTTTACACGTGATGTAACTTTTTTGACCCCCTCCCTGTACTACACCTAGCCCCCCCTGACTTACAGCCATTCATTTAGTGACTGTTTGAAGTTAAGACAGCACTGAAAAGGTGACTTACGACTTTTTTCCCCCGTTTAACTCTGTTATTTAACAGTTTTGCTTTCGTTCGTTCACTTTTTTGAAGTCTTGGAATCTTTCTCAACTTCGTTCCCTTGGCTTTTTTTTCAGCTTCTTCGTGTTGGGCTGGGGTTTTTTTTAATCTTTGACTTGCCCATTGCTGTCAGTTTGATAGACTTATGTCTAAATCCTTTGCAGACAAAATTAAGTGTCTAAAAGCCGAGGAATGATGCTGTGTAGCCTAATTGGCAACATAAAGGTGGCAAAGGGGCTGCTCTACCCCCCTCCCCAATTAATACCTGCACCCTCTCCTAAATTTAGTTAAAAGCAATATCATTACAAATAAAATAAACTGACATAGTGGCAGATCCTACATGAATACAGTGAATTGCAAAAAATCTCTCCTTAAAATATGCAAACTCTGCATATTTGCACCAAGGCTGATAAATTCTTGGTTGAGGTTTTTGCCTGAATTGTCATAAAGACTCAGCTGTATCACAAAAATGTTATTTTTTTTTTATTTTGAAAACGGGCATTTTATGATAAGTGACTCAAGGCTGGAAAAGATTGAAGATCTCTGGCCGTGCTTTTTTTTTTTTTTTAGAATTTTTCTGCTTCTCTGACCTTCTTCTGTAACTTCACAATCTGTATTTTTTGCTTCAGAATCCCTGTCCAAAACCCGGTCAGATTCCGTCCTTTTTTGCTAACACAGAAGAAGCAGATAATCGAGGTAATGTTGTTCGAGTCTTTGGATGTGTGTGTGTGTGTGTTTGCTTTGTTTCAAACCTGTGCTTTCATGAGTGAAATTGTCTTGTGTTTTAACGGGTTTGGTTTTCCAGCGAAATTCCAGATAAAGTGCTTTTAAGCACAGCTTGGTATCTGTAAATGGAAAAAGCCGAAGGGAAATTTGCATAATTCATGGCCCATATTGTGTGTGTGTGTGTGTGTGTGTGAGAGAGAGAGAGAGAGAGAGAGAGAGAGAGAGAGAGAGAGAGAGAGAGAGAGAGAGAAAAGGAAGGAAGGAAGGAAGGAAGGAAGAAAAAAAGGAAGGAAGGAAGGAAAGAAGCCAATCCACAGTCCAAATAACGTTACGGTCTGTGGGAGACTTTTTTTTTTTTAAAAAAAATGTCTTTATTGCAGTCTGAAAACTGGAATTGTGGATTTATCTGTGTTACAGTCAGGTTATAATATTCTAGGCAGAGTCAGGTATGAGTAAATCCATAGGTGTAGCGAAGCGTGAGCATCTGGAAGAGAAAATTAGCCGATGGAGGAGGAGTGCTTAGGTTGCAATGTACCCCCTCCTCAATAAATTTTGAGAGTAAGAATAAAACCGGACAGGATTTTAGCATAGATCAAGATTAATTAATAAGGGTGTGCAGCATTTTGGATTCAAAAGCAAAACCATGCTTTGGAGCACAGAGTGCAAGCATAAACCCTATTTACAGCTCCTTTAAGCAGCTCTAGAGAGCCATTTTTGTCTGGTTTAGGCACCAGGCTAGAAACTCGTGTTGAAGGAAAAGTCTTCATCGTGGTTCAGTCCAAGCCGGGAATAAACAACATGACGACTGCTTTAGAAAGAAGGTTGCAGTTTATTGAAGAGGAGAGCCAAACAGAAAGATGGCTCTGGAAGAAAAGAGGGCGAGCACATGTAGGGAGTGGGTTTTTATACCTTCTTGAGCTTTTTGTTTGGAGTTGTTCCTGTGGCATGAACCTTGACCTGAGTCTGAGTGTGTCTTTCTGGTATTCTGATGGTGGTGGGTTAATCCTAGTATGTCCCAAAGGTCAATCCTGCTTCCCTGGGGCTGTGGCTGATGACTCTTAGATTTTTGGTGTGTTGATTCTAGGGATCTCTTTCTTCATAATCCCAGTTTCCTGACTCCAGTCTTTCTGACAAGATTATCACATCTGCATTCTGCAGACTTGGTGTCTGTTTGGGGGAGGGAGACTTGGGGGCGGGATTGGCTTCTGCTTTTAAAATCCTTTAGGGAAATATATTCTGCCCTTTTAAATATTTCCAAAAATATTTCTTTCTCGGGGGGGGGGCTGACTTCTCACACTAGCCTGCGCTAGAAACTAGGAGACGGTGAGTTCTAGTCCTACCTTAGGTACGTTGGGCCAGTCCTACCTTAGGTACGTTGGGTGAACCTTTTAGAGACCATGCGCCCCAAAACCACCCCACCCGCCCGCAGGGCCACCCACTACTTCCACGGCCCACCACAGATGGTCCAGGTGGCTCACCAGCGCCATGGTGGCCATGGCCTCCGCCCGTGCCCCGCAGCATCATCTGCACGTGACGGGGTGCAAGGGTGGAGTCATCCTCGCTGCCCGGGTGCCGTGTCCTTGGTTGCGCTGCTCTGCATGGGCCGCGCCCGGGGGCGACTCTCCTCCGGGGGGGCTGCCGGTGAGGAGGGGTCCATGGGGGGAGGCGGGGCTGGGGCAACAGCACGCGTTCCCACAGAGAGGACTCTGAGTGCCCCTCTGGCACGCGTGCCATAGGTTCGCCACCACGGTCTTAGGGGCAAGAAGACGGAGCTAGAATGTTAATCCCGTTAAGTATCTCTTGTTGGTGCGGCATCCGTCTCGCCCAGTTTCACGCGTGACGCACCTGTTCAGCTGCTGTGCTCAAGGCGAACGCTTGCGGTTTTGTCTCCATTCAGTGACGCTCCTGCCCAAGCCGCGTCTCTATGAAGGAGGGATCTGCTGAGGGATCTGTTGAAGATGAGGCGACTGAATCGGAAGAAGACTTTGAATTTAGTGAAAGAATTGGACGCCTTCCCGAAGATTCCAGACAGCTACATCGAGACCTCAACGAGTGGAGGAACAGGTGAGCCCGGCGGATCGGTTTGCTTTGTGCTTTGGGAGTAGAGATAGTCCCCAACTTACAGCAGATGGTTTAGTGACCGTTCAGAGTCAACGACGGCACTGGAAACAAAGATTTATGAGCGTTTTTTCACACGTCACGACCGTTGCAGCGCTCCCCACGGTCATGTAATGAAAATTCAGATGCTTGGCAACTGACTCATATTTATGACGGGTGCAGCGTCCCCCCCCCCGATCATGAGATCCCCTTTTGCGACCTTCTGACAAGTCAAGGGAAGCCAAATTCACTTAACCCGACAACAGCAGCGATTCCCTGAACAGCTGTGGCAAGGAAGGTCGTAAAAGGGGGCAAAATTCACTTAACAGCTGACTGGCTTAGGAGCAGAAAAATTGGGCTCAATTGTAGTCGTAAGTCAAGGACTATCTGTAGAATCACAAAATGATAGAATCACAAGGCTGGAAGGGACCTTGGCGGTCTTCTAGTCCAACCCCCTGCTCTAGCAGGAGTTTTTATACCAGCCTAGGCCAGGGGTAGGCAACCTTGGCTCTTTTATGACTCATGGACTTCAACTCCCAGAATTCCTGAGCCAGCATGGCTCAGCTTGGAAACCTCTCCCTTTCCCCTCAGCGTGGCTGGCTCAGGAATTCTGGGAGTTGAAGTCCACGAGTCATAAAAGAACCAAGGTTCCCCACCCCTGCCCTATATCAGGGGTCCTCAACCTTGGAAATTTAAGACTTGTGGACTTCAACTCCCAGAATTCCTCAGCCAGCATGGCTCAGCTTGGAAACCTCTCCTTTTCCCTCAGTGTGGCTGGCTGAGGAATTCTGGGAGTTGAAGTCCACGAGTCATAAAATAGCCAAGGTTGCCTTCCCCTGGCCTAGGCCTAGGCCGCTTTATGACTCGTGGACTTCAACTCCCAGAATTCCTGAGCCAGCATGGCTCAGCTTGGCAACCTCTCCCTTTCCCCTCAGCATGGCTAGCTGAGGAATTCTGGGAGTTGAAGTCCACGAGTCATAAAAGAGTCTACCCCTGCGCTAGACTCTATAGAATCACTTAGTCTATTAATGTATACTTTAAAACGTATAGCTTCTCCCAGTCAATGCCATTTTCATCTCATTATGTACTTCTTCTTCTTTAGTTTCTCTAATAGCTTTTACAACCATGGCTCTCTTAACCATAATGGAGTTTACGGTCTATCGAGACACCTGGATGAAATACGAGTATGAAGTCGACAAGGATTACACTAGGTAATACTTTCCCCTTCAGCTTGTATTGACTGTACGTGACTTTAATGTGTTTTTGTTTTTTTAAAAAAAACAATCTTGATGCCTTAAGGGCCACCGTTTCAAACTCCTTACATTAATTCTTGAGATCTTGATAACAGGAACACCAGGTGGTTAAGAAAAACAAAGCAAAAAATAAAATTGTTATGCGTCTCCTGGGACATAAGGAAGAAGAAACATGCTTGCTCCACCTTTGAAGCGGGAGCTAAAGTAGATCCAAACAGATTTGTTTAGGAATAAAGCTTTTAAACAGTCAAGCTGTTTAAAACCGAGAAAGCTAGATTATCCCAGAAGCTCATTAGAGAGATTTAGTAAAAAAAACATAGGGGTGGCTTTACTGTATTTCACAACTGCTTATGTATATTATAATAATAATAATAATAATAATAATAATAATAATAATAATAATAATAATAATAATAATAATAATAATAATAATAATAATAATAATAATAATAATAATAATAAAGTTGGAAGGGACCTTGGAGGTCATCTAGTCCAACCCCCTGCTCAGGCAGGAAACCCTATACCATTTCAGACAAATGGCTGTCCAGTCTCTTCTTCAAAACCTCCAGTGTTGGAGCACCCATAACTTCTGGAGGCAGGTAGTTTCACTGGTTAATTGTTCTAACTGTCAGGAAGTTTCTCCTTAGTTCTAGGTTGCTTCTCTCCTTGGTTAGCTTCCATCCGTTGCTCCTTGTCCTGCCTTCAGGTGCTTTGGAGAATAGCTTGACTCCCTCTTCTTTGGGGCAGCCCCTGAGATATTGGAAGACTGCTATCATGTCCCCCCTCGTCCTTCTCTTCGTTAAACTAGACATACCCAATTCCAGCAACCGTTCCTTATATGTTTTAGCCTAAACAGTCCCCTCCTGTTTATCAGTGAGTGTAATTAGACGAGTCCGCCTTGATGTCATTTTATTTATATTTTATTTTATTTTATGTTTTATTTTATTATATGTTTTATTTTATTTATATTTTATTTTATTCATATTGTATTGTTTATATTTTATTTTATTATTTTATTATTCTATTCTATTTTATGCTATTGTACTCCATCTTTATTATTTTTACAAATAACTCAAGGCATGGAAGATATCCAATCTTCCTCCTCCTAATTTTTCTATAACAACTCTGAGGTGAGTTTGGCTGAGAGAGTGGTACTGGCCCAAAGTCACCCGGATGGCTTTCATGACTAAGGCAGGACTAGAACTCACAGTCGCCTGGTGATTGGCCCAAAGTCACCCAGCTAGCTTTCATGATTAAGGACTAGAACTCATAGTCGCCTGGTGATTGGCCCAAGGTCACCCAGCTAGCTCTCATGCCTAAGGCAGGACTAGAACTCACAGTCGCCTGGTGATTGGCCCAAAGTCACCCAGCTAGCTTTCATGACTAAGACAGAACTAGAACTCAGTTTCCTGGGTGATTGGCCTACGGTCACCCAGCCAGCTTTCATGCCTAAGGCAGGACTAAAACTCACAGTCGCCTGGTGATTGGCCCAAGGTCATCCAGTCAGCTTTCATGCCTAAGGCAGGACTAGAACTCATAGTCGCCTAGTGATTGGCCCAAGGTCACCCAGCTAGCTTTCATGACTAAGACAGAACTAGAACTCAGTTTCCTGGTAATTGGCCTACGGTCACCCAGCCAGCTTTCATGCCTAAGGCAGGACTAGAACTCATAGTCGCCTGGTCATTGGCCCAAAGTCACCCAGCTAGCTTTCATGCCTAAGACAGGACTAAAACAGTCGCCTGGTGATTGGCCTACGGTCACTCAGCCAGCTTTCATAGCTAAGGCAGGACTAGAACTCCTCTCCTGCTTTCTACTCTGGCGCCTTAACCACCAGACCAGAGATAGGCAACCTTGGCTCTTTTATGACTCGTGGACTTCAACTCCCAGAATTCCCCAGCCAGCCACGCTGAGGGGAAAGGGAGAGGTTTCCAAGCTGACCCACGCTGGCTGAGGAATTCTGGGAGTTGAAGTCCACAAGTCCTAAAAGGGCCAAGGTTGCCTACCCCTGCACTAGACCAAGCTGGCAATCCTAAGATCTCCCACTCTTGATTTAAGAGGAGACTGCAGCTCTTTCAGAAGATACAAATAGAAGCTCCATCTGTTCTCTCTTGACAGTGTTTTGCCAACGCTCATTTCTGTTC